CTAAAAATAAATATATCGCATATTTATTTTTTACTTATGTTCCACAGGAGCGCGACAACATTTCAGAATAAAGTTGAAATTTAAATGCATTTTTGCTACATGATCACTGGACAATTAATATTCATTCTCATTAACTTTCAATGTGGACTTTATCTTATTTAAAATTTTACCGTTTGTATTCAGTATGTGTAATAAAGCTGGTAATAGGTGAAATTTGGCTATTATTAGAAAAAAAACTTAACTGTTTAAAACGCGTAATGTATTATTTTATATGTAACTTATTAACAATTTATTTTAACTTCGGCCCGACATTTCGGATGCTTTGCAGCAGCCGTGGTTATGGGAACTGCATATGGAGAGTTACATAAAGTCAAAATCTAATCTGCTACCTACGCTAGCACGACTAGGAAAAGATAGCGCTAAAAGCTTTACACCGTTAAAAATGTTTTATTTAAATGTGAAAACTTAAAAGATCATTATGACTTTTATATATGTATCTGAAGTAATGAGGTGGCGTCTGCCAAGACATATAACTTCAACAGTCTTCCATATCTTACGCCGTGGACTTGTAGTTACGTGTATATCGAACATGAATGATTAACCTATAAATAAATACTTGGAAGGCTTGTGTTCGTTATCTGTGTCGTAAATAATTAATTGTGCAATATTTGCAATGATAAACCTTATCGGATGGAATATTTACTTACAAATGCGTAATGTCCACAACATAACTAGCGCCTTATGTTTTGTAGTAACACCATGATGTACAGGATAGTTTTTAAATATAGTGCTATTAGAAGTTGCAAAAAAAATAATTTCTCATTTCAGAAAACCTTTAGCAGTCACGCAAATGAAAAATAGCCCATTTTTTTTATTATCTTTACTTTTAATAGCAATTAAAGGTTCTATTTATTTATTTCGAACTATTAACCAGTAGTCGTTATGGCTGCTCTTGGCATTGATTAGCTTTGCTGAAAATTAAGGCAGACCATTAAAAATTTGCCAATTTATTACACAAAGTCTTTACAACCGTGACATTGACATACATAATAAACAACTCCGGACCTAAGGTAGTACCTTATTTTACGCAGTACTAATAACTAATATTAAGTAGTTACTCACGTCAAATCAATTAAGTAATTAGTATTTACATTATTCAAACAGAATAGGTATACTGTTTAGTTTATATCGATCGATTATAATTCTGAGCACGTTCTATCCTTGACTTAGGACTACCTGAATAGCTGTTTACATGTTATTCATAAAAGATGAAAGTAGTTCGATTTAAAGGTTTAGGTTGAGAATAGTATTAAAAAAGAAACTTTTTTTTTAGATAGATAGACATATACTATCGCAGTCATTTTTTTAGATGATTTAAAGAGGATTCATTCTTTCATCTATATTTTTGGGTTTCTTGAACGGTTTTCGCATCACACGCAACAGATGCCCTCAAAGTTATATAATTTTCCACTTATTTTCCTTTTTCACGGTTTTTTTACTCCCATATATTGTAGCCTGATGTTTTATAGCCTTAAACCGTCCTCGATAAATGACCCAAACAACACAAAAAAAATCAATTCGAACCAGTAGTTCCTGATATAAGAGCATTTAAACAAACAAAATTCTTTAGGTTTATAATATAAGTATAAATTGAAATGTTTCATAAATCTTAAAAATATGAGAAGACTTATGTGACATAACAAACATACGAGTCTTAGTGTTTGCTTATTATATCAATAAACCTTTATAACTGATTACCAATATCAGAGATATTTTTTCCTTATAATATTAAATCTTATCTTTGTTATCGAACCCTTTCGTTTTCATTTCCTATATCAGATAATGCTATGCTGTTTTTCTATTTGAATCTATGCGGCGTCCAAGTGATTTTTGTCAATTAGCAAATCGTAAACTACTATAGATTTGATTCAGTTTATGATATTTCATTCGTGTCCTGTTTATCTTACTACCACTTAAGAATGTTCTAGAAAGGTGTTTAATATAGCGTTACTAGGCTTGGTAATAATTCCAAATTTGATCTACCACTTTAACGTATAGGTGTAATGTTCATTGATAACAGATAACAAAAAATGCTCTATATTAATTCGGCCACAGTATAAACAGCATTAATCAGTTGCGCCATGTGGGAAACGCTTTTAGATACATTAAAACGTGAAATTAACATAGGCTAGTCACTTTCTCAAAGTTGAACAAAATATCTGAATTAGTGGGTGGATACTTAGTTTATTGCTTGAGAAATATGAATGAGTAATAAGTAGGATTAACTGCATGTCTCAACCAAGTTTTGCGTCCATAATTCCAGCATTTTGTTACTTTCAATTTGAGTTGGAACACGTCCAAACTGCAGAGTTTGTTGATCTAGATCTAACACGATACGGTGTCTAGATTATTTTTAAAGAAGTTTTAACATGCGTTGAAAACGTGTGTAATGTTTATGATGTGATAGTGTTATAGAGAGGTAAAACAGTGTATAACGGTGATGAGTCATCGAATTCTCCAATACAACATCTCACTATAGATCAGTTGCATGTCTGCATTTTAATACTAAATTACTGCGTACTTAGATGTTCTTCATATAAATGATAAGCTTAAAAAGGAAATCTTCCTTATATTATCTAAATCATTTTCAGGTTCTGTGCAAAATAACTAGATTATTGATTCTTGCTTGCTGCAATAAACACGTACCTGTAAATATTGAAATTGATTATTTTATCATACGGACTAAATTCTAATTGTGGTTTAAATTATATGCTATCTATTCAAAGTACATATTTGCAAATAAGCATGAAATTAATTAATTTTTCGCAACGTGACAGTTGATGATAATTTGTTATATGCATAATCGTTAACGAACCGTTAAAATGCAGAGCTCGCATAATTAATCCAAACAAAGTTGCGAGAGCCAAGACAGGATGATAATGTTGGGGCCAAATCATGACGATGTTTCTCATGGATGAGATAATGACTGACAGCCAAGAACATGGGGACGGACATGTATCAGAGAAGATGGTTAGTTTTTAGACAACTATACTGCGTCTAAGTATCACGTCTAAATGTGTATTGTATCTAGAAATTATCGTAAAATATTTTATCTGCAATATAGTAAAGGTTTTTTTGAACTTTGTCTATGCCTGGTTCATAATTCTGTTTGTGTAAAATAGCCTATGTATTCAGCGTGTGGTTAAATAAAATAATGTTATAGTGCCAACTAGAGATTTGCCTTCTTCTATGATGGATGAAATCCACAAAACTTTCTCTAGCTCCTGCCGTAATTTGGTGACATCACTTTCAAAAAACATCGCTCTGAAATAGCAAGTCATCGTGAAGCGAGATTAGCCGTAGGTACAGCGCTATATAACGAGTAACGGTGACGAGTCAAGGAGTAAAATTAATGTTTTTATCTGTAATTGTCAGCTGGAAGGTCAATGTAGATGACCGGGCACGAGTCAAGGTTACATTTCGCAAGAATTAGGAAGATATGTTTAGTTACATCCAGCAATTTATAGTAATTCTTTAAAGTCCGAGTCAGTAAGAGTTAGCCAACAAAATGTTTGACATAAACCAGAAGCCGTTGGCTCATGAGCCATTGAGACTTAGCAAACTGAAATTCCAATATCCTATCAAAATATTCGTTAGCCACTGGCCACTTTTGATCTTGCCGAAACTTTCAGTCAACGTTAAAAAAAATTTTTAGGCGTAGATAATTCAGTACACTTTTTATTTTATATTTCATTCGTACTTATAACTAAAGCATGTTTAGAAGAAACGAGAAGGAAAAACTCGTCACCAAATTTTCAACAGCCCTATCTTGGAAACTAAAGACTATAGCATTTTTTTCCCCATTATTACCTAGTGCCGGTATGAACCTATGCCGGTAATTATGTGGACTGGAGAAATTTTTCAGTTTATCTAAAATCCGGTTAACACCAAATCTTTAGTTCCTATGTAAAAAACAAATTGCACTGCAAAAGAGATAAATTATTCTTAATTTACATTTAATGATCTCGTTAGTCTAGAATGTGCGACGCCGGAACAATTTTAATTCATTCATTTATACTAGAGCAGTGGGACAAGTTTTTACTGCATTAGGTTATTATTTAACCTAAACCTGCTTCCGGTCGGAAGATCGATACTCCTTTAAATAACTAAATTGGTAGGTACCCGGTGAAGAAATACATAAACAGCTGTTGACGCAAAATCGCGTTAAATTAATGCCTATTTGAACTAGTGAAGGACAGAATGATCCCTAAAGCTTGGCTATTACTTTAAAACAAAATGATGAAATACTAACATCATCATACTAATTAAGTGCGTTCTTACACTTCCCCACTAATCGTTTATAACATCCGGGAACTAATATTTGCTCTTTGTCTACGAGTGTAATTTCTTTGTGGAACAACATAAGTAAAATAAATACTTTTTAGGGCAATCATGGGATTGCCTTATCACTGTTATTTCTGCGCGTTTTTATTCAAACATGACGTATAAGTGCATACTTTACTAATATTATGCTAACGTAATAGGTGATGTTATTAAAAAATAATTGTTTATCTTCATCATACAGTAACTATTGTGTATAACATCTGCGTTTAATTTTATTTATTAAGATTTTTTTTTTTGTTACAGATAAGAAAAGACAAATTGGCGTCAGACATAAGAGTTGTGACAGAGCGACAACTGTAACATAGATTAAAAATAGTCCGTAAGACTTTAAACTGCTTGTGATATAATTTAACGCATTTAAAATTGAATTTAGAATTCGAATTGACAAAATACTCGTGATAGTTAGTATTGTGATATAACTTATTCGTATGATAGGGGAGACTTGACTTTTGAATTAGGAAATAATTGACAATTTAGTAATAAGAAATCGGATACTTTAGAGAGAACTTATAAGAGTGGCTAGAAGTTCTGTGAGATTGGATACTCTTTTGGAATAAAAGTGTTAGAGATTTAGATTGAGAAACCAGATATAAACAATGCGAGACACCATGAAGCCTTGTCAGCACACGCTCTCAGATGACGTCGTCTACAAAGACGTAGTAGTGGTCGGTAAGTGCACAATGAAGCCCGATAATGCTTTAAATTTTATTCTAGTAACTATAATAAAATTTACTGTTCATATTATCAAGATAATGCATTAAGTTGACTTGATAAGTCTAAAGGAGGTTCAACGTTTTGCTCAAATTATCCAATTTAGGCGTTATGTACCCGAAGGAAAAAAAGTAACCCTAGTACAAAGATTTAGTTGATATTCTGTCCGACACCAGGATGGATCTTAAGAACTTAGACGTTGAAATTTTAACAAATCCCGTATATGGCTAATATTTACTTTTCGAGAAATAGTGTTTGCCTACTTCTAACTTAAAATAACTACAAAGGTTAAAATATTGTGTAACCCTTGAAAAGGCTTTGAATGATTTAAGAATCTATTGATGCACATGTACTTAACGCACACTGTCCCTATTTAGTAAAAGACTTGCGAAGTCAAGTGGGTAATTCAAACCAATGGATAGGGTCTAGAATGTTCTTATTCCATGTACATTGTTGTATGGCGACAATGGTTATGTAATAATTGTAAACAAATTACATAATTTTTATACTCGTAATCTCCAGTTACAAGTTATCGGGTTCTGATGTCGTTATTTAATAGCTCATTTGATTTTTAACCCCTGATGGTGTTACATGACAGGTCTGTTATATAAGCATGATTAATAAAATCGATGTTCTCTAATTACACCAATTTAGTTATACGTATAACTTAGAATATCGCTTATATTCTATTTACAAAGAAAAATTGGAGGACACTGGCGGGACTTCCGGTGGAGCTACCACGTCCTACAGTAGCAGGAACGCTGTGAGTAGGGGTTCAAGTCCCGCCCGTGTCGTCAATTTTTTTCAATCTAAATCTATTTTAACAATGTAATAAAATGTGAAATATATTAAGGTTTTCTCATCTCAGTTACATTTCTTATAGTTGCAACCTAACACCGTTAGGACATAGTAATGAAAATCCAATGTAATCTATATCAATCAGAGTTCGATTCTTCTATCTCTACCTACTACTACCAGAAAGCCTATGTTTACATTTTACGCCATTGCGACATTGGCAGTGATGTTTATCGATACTTCTACGAAGCCAACTGTAAACATCACTGCCAATGTCGCTAATGTGTTGGAGGAAATATTTACAATAGCCTTTGTATATGCAATATTATATTGGTTTTGAGTTCCTTAATAGTTTATACAATGGACGCAAAGCACAAGAAAATCTTCTTTAATAATTTTTTTTTAAACAGATAAAAACGTGAAAAATGGGGCGGTAGCTGAAAAGCGTCAAGACAATTAGTTGTGGTAAAATGACCAAATAATTCGCGTTTTAACCTGTTGAAAAATCTTTTACATATTAAACCATTTCTTATGGTAGAGGAGGACAGACAAGCATATGGCGCACTTGTGGTAATTGAAATACCCCAACCACATAACATCTAAACGAGATGCGCTGACGTCCTATTTTGGCTTTGGATACTCGGAAATCCACAGACTGAAACTGAAACGCGACTAAACTGTACGGCTTTTTCATCTATGGGCGGTGGTACGTGACCCGGATGGAATTTCAATATTTCTTCCACCCATTTAATATCCAGAATTCCAGACGAAGTTCGTTTCGAAAAATTATCAATAATTAGAAAAACGTTGGACCCAGTGGGGATCGAATCCACGACCCTAAGGTATAATTGCTAAGACACTTACTTTTTTACACTATTGTGTTAAATAAGTTAAATTGTAAGTATTCTCCAGGCAATGGTCCCAGTGGTATGGTGACGTCGTTCGTGCTGGCCGGAAACGTCCCATACCTAAAAGACATACCTGAAGATCTGCCGATTGATGAAATGCTCAGGGCAAGGTAAGTCACATCCAGTCAGAGATATAGATGTCACTAGCTGAATCGGCAAATGTTTTGTTATTTGCAAGATTAATATTATTATGTTGATAGAACTCTAGCTAAAGGCAAATAATTAGAAATAATGCATTAATTTCGACCGATCTCTTTGATCCAGTTAATAGATCATTCAAAGAGGAATCATTATTTCATATGTGTCTTTTGGTTTCTTAAACTGTTTGGCTACGGAAGCCCAAAAATGAATAATTTTACATTTCCCGCTGTTGTCTATCCCACACAAAATTTTTCATTTCGGACCCTTTCTGATATTAGCGCGTTCAAAAAACAAACTCTTCAGTTTTTGTAATATACTTAGAATATAGATATAGTCTTTAGAATATATTATATTATAAATATGATTTTACATAAATTTCCAGATTATCAAATTTACCACCCGGACAGAGTCTATACGACGCTGATCTCCTGGAGCTAGCAGAGGGTTTAGAAGGTAGAAGCCAGAACCCCATTTCTTTACTGGTGAGTGGATATTTTTGAAAGGAGTATGGATATATATAATAGGAAGTATACTCTGACGAGGAAGCAAAGGAAAAGGTCAACTTGATTTACTAGAAACAAATTATATCTAATTAACTAGCAGTCTCGCGCTGTCGCCTGCATAATGTATATAGATGCCCCAAAAATAAAAATTTCCTCCCACTCATAGTTACCTTAGCAACAAAATCCGGAAGACTAACAATGTACGCGCACGTTGGTGGCGGGTCAATGTTTTACCGAAATATTACGTAGATAAGGTTGGCGGTTGCTACAAAAAATAATCAGGTTTATCGACCCGTCTGGCCTAGTGATAGGCCACATAAGATTGTCGTGTCTGTTGAAATTGGTTTCTATCTGCGCTCATTTATTTGCAACTTGCAACGCACGCGCCGTGTGCGTGATTCCTGCTGATCAGGTTGGGACACATATATACGAATGTCCCCAGCACAAATAGGCCGACGGCGCATCTTGTTTAGATGTTATACGGTTAGGGTGGTTTTGCCCTCCATCAAGTGAATTAGGGTCTGTCATTGTGTCTTCGTCACGCTTTTTATTTATGCTTCTTATAATGTATACTGAGCGAAATAGATAATAAATAATTTATCAATGCCATCGCGTCTGTAACCCTGAACTCGTTAATAAAAACTGCAAGGTCCAATATAACATTTAGTAAAAAACATTTATTTATTACTTAATTTATTGTATCATCGGGTTGGGCATTAAAATTCCATTAAAAATATACTCATAGAATAAACTATTGCTAGAACTTTATTCGAATCGGTCAGTGGAAGTTCATTTTAATTTTATTATTATTTACTCTCTTGGCTTTTCCATCTGTTGATGATGGTTCGAACCCAGACGGAATCTTGATATACCTATTATTATTTTTCCAAAGAAACCATACGGTTTAAAGGGGGAAAATTGAGAGTTTCATAACCCAATGTCCTCCGCGAGGGGGAAATGGGTGAATTGGTTGGCAGATACAGTGGATTGAACACCGCGCCTTCTTTCAGTCTCTCCAATAGAAAATAATAATATAAATTATTACCGATACATGTTAGTTACCATTCGACTTGATTTGAATTTATAAGTTTATTATTTATCTGTAGATATTCCTATCCGTGTATCAATCCTTTAATAAATGATGATTAGGCGTAAATCGAATCACCTGATTTATTGTGACCTTATCTTTTAATCACCATCATAAATTATAACTATCAACACTTGAGTGAATAATTGTTTGTAATTTCTCAACTAAAAAGAAATATAGCATAGAAGGCCTATTTAAATCCGTATAATAATGTATGTATGTATGTATATACAATTTCTACGCACTTAAAAACGTATGGTGTTTAGAAAACTATCATATAAATACATCAATAAACCTTTACAATGCAACTTCAAGGCTGAGTAGAATTAATTACAAGCATGTCGATGACGACGCTATTGTAGATTTTCAATACTCAATTATGTACTATATTAATTACTAGCTAACCAAGCAAATGTCTTACTTTATACTATTAGCCAGGCTAAATTTAAAGGACAGATTATGGTGAGCAAGTCCGAACTGAACTAACAATAACTTTAATATTTTTCATATTCTAAATGTAGTTTTATATATATACATTCCAGATGGACAATCTGCTAAGACCGTGCGCAGATTTGGGCATCCAAGCAGATTCCTTGATCGAGTGGCGATATGATGTCGAGAAAGAGGTATGCAATATCTTCCAATGTAAAACATCCACTTGAACATTCAACAATTACTATTCTTTGTGTTGGTATCTCTTAAATAAAAGCAAACGCAATGTAATCACGTTGCAACCTAATAATATTCCACCGCGGGTGACGGGTCTTCTCTCACAAGAGACGTTTTAAGTGCCCGTCAGTCAGACCCACCATGTTGCTCCTGTGCGGCTCAACAAGTTTTAGCATTATTGCTAAATTAGTGATGATAACCGGGACTGACGGCTTTCCGAGGTTATCGAATCACACCAGAGAACTCCACTTCTAAAATTTCCGAATACTGTAACTATATTTCGCCCTACCTCCTGAAAAACCACCACCATTTAGTCTACTCATTTAATCTTTATGAATGACTACTTTCAGATAGACCACGTAGTCCTGGGACGGGGTCCGCCGGGCGGCGCGTGGCACACGTTCCCTCCACAAGTGCGCACGCTGTCTCCCGGGGCATGGCTCTCGCTGCCTCCGCACACGACCGACTCGGCGGAGCGACTAACGGCGAGTGCCGTGGCCGAGTACTGTCGACGTTACGTGCAGGCGTGCCATTTGCAGGTAGTTTTATATTACAATCTCTCTCGTTGTAACGAGTTGAGCTTTAGTTTATTTATCTCTTATCCTTGTTCTTCCATCGAGATTGTGTGAAAGAGATATGTATATTATGACACGTGAAAAAGCGCATTTGCTTCTGTGGTTAAAAATGCAAGGAATAGAAGATCACTAGCCTGTAATTGATTTATACCAATATAACGACCGACATTTATTGCACTGTAGAGTGAAAAAAATGTTTCTTCTCAAAAAAATATTTTGTTGACTTAGATAACAATGTATTATCCAAGCGTTAACAGTCGATATCGCGTCTTATCAAATCAAAGTTTAAAAAAAATGTAATATTTATCGAAAATTAATCATCCGTATAGATAAATATGACTATTATACTTGGTATTAAAAAAGACTTCGCGATAAAAAATTAAACCAATTATAATATTACAGATAAAAATAATAAACTTATAAAGTACTAGCTGTGGCCTCAATTTCGTCCGCGTGGAATAGTTATGTTGTGAATCATATTATTTATTTTTGCAAAAAACCTCATCGGCCTATAAATTATAGCCGTTAACCACGACGTCGCCTGCATCCCTTAGTTAATCTTACAAGGTAGACATACTATACTGTCGCGGATATGTCGTTTTCGCGGCGCCAGCTACACAAACCCTCAAAATACTATCGGTTGCTTATCTAATACATAATAATTTTTCAATTCGAACCAGTACTTTATGAGATTAGCGGTTTCAAACAATCAGGTTTATAATATAAGTTTAGATTTAATAATAAGAATCATAGCACGGTTCCGTTACAAAAAAGGAATAGTCTAAGAACGTTGAAGATCTAACTGGCTGAGCGGCCGCTAATGCTATAGCACTGATTTACTCTCTCTTGAAAAATATTATTTTTCATAGAAAATAAAAAAATCTCTTCGAGACTGATTCGCTGATTGGTATCTATAGTCTATATCAAAGCAAAAGTTTCGAAAAAAATTACGCTTATTTTTGGGGGTTAGTGGATATGTTAAGTCCAAAAGCTTTTAATGTGTTTCCTTTCAGCGCTACTTTCGCTGCAACGTCGTGGTGACAAGTGTGACAGCGGCCCCTCCTGGTACGGGAGCACCCTGCAGCCCTGCCTGTCCACGTTCTGCTTCTTACTGCGTCTCTGGGTAATATTTTTATATTAAAATAGACCAAGTGTTTAACATGAATCAGATGGCGCAATATTCGCCAAAGTCTTGATGAAGTATGGCTATTGTATATGCTCACTGAAGTAAAACATTTTTAAACAGTTTAAAACACGATTAATATTAGTTAAATTCCCAAGTCTGCTGAAAAGAATCGAGAACGTCAGGTTCAAAATAAGTTAATTAATATATTATGTATATATTGCGTTTTAAACTGTTAATATAATATCATTTTCGGTCGTATAGAAATATGTATTTTAAATTCATTTAAAAAACTCCCCGGCTCAAACTGTAATTTGTAAAACCACTATAGGTAAATAAGTAGACCGTAGTTCTAAATGATTAACGTAATTCTGAATATATTAATTTCAGCTATGATCATAAAGAGGGTCGCGGGTTCCGATACGCATGCAGGCGCGTGGTGATCGCGGCCGGAGCTTGTGACAGACCGAACGTCCTCCCGGAGCACATCTCGCACCACGCCCTGCATCAGCTGGCCGCCCTGGAGAAAGCCGCCCAACTCGTTTCCAATACAAGTGAGCAAATAAGAAGACTATCGCTCTGTTTTATGGTTTATGTAGCTCTAAGGACCGGTTACCGAATTTCGCATCCTGGGTCGGTTGTAATATTATATTGGTGTTTGGAAATTTTCTAAAAGAGTAAAAACCTAGAGTTTTGAAGTAGGAGGTGTCAGGTAACCCTATTCTTCGGGTAGCAACAACTACTAATTTCACGACAGACCACCCCGCACTATAGCAGCGTGGTGGGTAACGTTTAAAGAAGGGGTTCAAGTAGGAAATTAATGGTTTAAAACAAATGACTGCCAATGGCCTGTTAATTAGTGGATGATTTAAAGAAATAGAAGACAGAAGGACTAGCTTGCTTGTAGACCCAAGTTGTTGACTTTTATCGGATATCAGTAATTAAAATTTTATAACCCTGTAATCTTATAAAAAGCATTATATTTAAATGTCCTAATAATAAAAATCCTATAATTTACAGAATCAACAACATCCGAAATCTCAAAGTCGGTGCTGGTGGTGGGTTCGGGGGGTGTCAGCGGCAGATGCTGTTCGTCTGGCGAGAGCGTCTGGTCTCCACGTCTACCATTTGCACAGGACAGCGGCTGATTCGCTTGCAAAATTGCCATTACTTAACTATCCTGACTATAATCAGGTAAGGACTTTTACTATTACTTGTAACAGTCTGTTTCTTCAAATCGCTTAGTTGCTGTTGTAGGCAAAGAAAACAGAATTCCGGTGTCAGACGAGACTCAACATATACATATAGAGTAGATTGACATCGATAACAGCGGTCGAGTTTCGCTTTTTTACTTAAAACGATGTAATCTACTGAAAAGTAACTATTGAATGCGATTTTAACATTACATTGACATATACATATTTACATCATGATGCCAGATATACAAGTAAACTAAGTAAATATATTCTGCAGGTGTACAAAATGATGTGCGATGGAGCGTCTGGCAACTATACAAATTACAAATCTCTGCCCGAACATATGATCGTGGAAGTCACTCCACTCCTCTCGCCCCAAACCACAAACACTGAGGAAGAGAACAAGATCCGCCTAAAAAAAGTAAAACTTCTCAACCTCGTCACAAACAAAACCGTAGAGTTAACCGTATACATCGTCGCCGTCTTGATTGGCTCGAAACCAGATCTATTCTTTCTTCAAACAAATTTCGACCTTAACACCATAGAAATAAAGAAGTGCAAGTGCAACGAGAAGAAAATCGACGAAAAACAATGCTTCCTCAGAAACCATTGGCATTACCTAAAATCGGTTTTGGGACAGAGCATACAAAGTTGCAAATCCAGGTATTTGAATTACACAGAGATAAATGGCAACATTGACACAAAATGCGCGCTACCGGACTGCAATAAAAGGGATACATGCACTTGCAACACCAAAGCGGAAAGGGGACTGGCGGTGCGCGAATGCAAATGCGAAATCATTCCATATTCGAATTTAAGGCGGGAAAAGAACTGTCAATGTCAACCTACTAATCCGTATAGCAGCGGGCTAGGATATGGCATTGACCCCAAGAAACCAGTTGACGGTCGTTCAAACCCAGTAGCAATAGACAAAAGTACTCACGAAATGTTTAATTTCCCCGGAATGTACGCACTCGGACCTTTGACAGCGGACAACTTTATCAGGTTCATCCCGGGCGGAGCTCTAGCCTTAGTAACACACATTCACCGAGAAATGAAATCAGAATAGAAATATTGAAATTGTGATTGTTGTCTACTTAATTTTATACAATAAATTATTTTTTTTTACAAAGTCCTATTAATTTTCTTACACATGTACAAATATGTCCATTATACGAGTCATTTGTCTCAAGTCAGCCTATTACCATATTTGATTTAGAATTATAGTGACTGAATTACCCGATTTTAAAGTAGGACTTTAAAAGAATGCTATTACACAAGATGCACATATAATACTTGTCTATATAGCAACACATGTTAGTAAACAACCAACCATGTTTAAATCATTACTACCATTATAACAAAATGAGATTAATTTTATATTATTATTTTCTTTCGGGGACACCTGTGGTGGATGGTGTGGAAGGGTCCAACGTCATCAGTTGATTATTTCACCCATTTCCCCATTTCCTCCTTAATTTTATAGTACCCTAAATTTGAATAATCTTGATTTCTATATGTATTGTAAATTCTTAAATGAGAGAATAAAAATTAAGCAAAGGTGAAAATAATTTTATACTGTATTTTGATAGATTTTATTTTATTTTTTTAGGAATATTTGAATAATTATATTATAAAGGTATTAAATTAGTTAAAAACAGGTTGTTTATTTGTATTTGATTGTAATTAGTCACCTTTTGCACTCCATTCCTATTATATTTATATGTAATGTTATAGTATTATATATTTGTATAAAATAAATATTATATATTTCTTTGTCTGTAAGTATTATTAAAATTACAGAAATAATGGTCACATTCCACTTGAATTCTTAAAATTTACCAATAGTAGGATTGAAAAACTATAAAAAAATTTAAAACATGTATTTACAAATGCTTTATTTGTATGTATAAAATTAAAATTAGATTACATTATACTTAAAATTATATGGCACTTCCTATTACATTCATAATAATATACTTCTTATTTTACATAAAATACATCTATGTTATTAAGTAAAAGGTTATTTACACTTTGCCTTAACTAAATGCAAATAACATTTATTACACATACCGATTGTGCACATAAAATAGTTGCCTAAAAACATAATAAAAAATTATAATATTCTAATTCTCTAGAATTGTGTCCTACTTTAGTCCAAAAGTAAATGTAACAAAAGATTCTGACATAGACGTAAATATACAAATCAACAGTAAAAAGATAAACAACAGAAATCGTCAATCTCTATTAGGAGGAGGGCGTGGAGTATGAAACACTACTGTAAGCTTCTGCAGCTCCTCAGCTAACACTCTTGGGAGACCTAAATTATTAACTGCATTTGAATCCTTTAATTGCAACGCTAAAGCCAATAATGCTGTTCGCCTTAAACTACGAACACTAATAGTAATGTTCCAGTTGGTACGGAACATCATGCCGCCTACGTTTCTGGGAGGACGATAGATTGGGTTATTATTGATGACATAGCGCTCTTTTGTAGCCACGTCCGTGAACTCCCACGGATGAGTAATAAACGAGTTGATATCAAAATAGGTGCCTTCCTCCAATCGCACATAATGCCGCTTCACCCCGCGGAAGTCCCGCCACCAGATATCGACAGGACGCGATGTCTTATTCGTAAATCGGAGATAAGCTCGCTGTGTCGACTCTAAAGACCGCACCAACATACTTTGACCGTTTTCATCAATTTCGTAAACTAAATCGCTTTCGTCACTCTCTGGCATTATTTTTATAACATTAACACATGGTAAGTTCGTTATAATCACGGCTTATTAGTTAAGGAGCCTGTGACTTTGATAATGAACGATTTGTTTGAAAAATATTAAAGATCGCTAAATAAGAAGTCTTTATAAATAAGACGAAATAAACGCAATAATTCCTTAAGCGCACTATTGTACTCACAGAAGAAATATATTTGATCCTTTATTTTCGATTTCTTTACTATATTTGTTATATATTATGTTCGTCATAAATATTTTTGTTTCCGACTCCTCATCAATACAGCTGATGAGCTGAATCATGACAATTGACATAACAAAACAATGCAATCAAAATACCGAATATTATCTGTAAACTAATATTACTATTATAATATATTAAAAACATCGAATATCGATAAAAGGCGGGGTAATCAATCCACATTATCTGTTACCATTTCTCTTATTTCCCCATCTCTTCCCTATAGAGGACTATAAGTTATGAACTTTGGTTTACTTCAATGGCATACGTTAAATTGCAGTCTGTAATTTGTTTCTTACTGTATTACTATGTCTGTGTTCTTTAGAATTAATGTTTTGCTTGTATCAAATACAATTGTCCTATAAAAATAAATAGCATAGTAATGGCTGTTTGTGTAGCTGTAATTGGAAAGGATGTAAGTATTTACTTGTGATGTGGAATGAGTTACCTTTAAACACTGAAATGCACTCCAAAACGTTTAATATTAGCGTAAAAATCTTATAGATATCATAGACAATTTACTTAAAAAAATTTGCCCAATTTTAAGCAAGACTTCAAACAAAAAATAAATTGAAAAAAAATATTTTTGACTCGAAAAAAAATTTTGTCAGCACGGAACGCTGACGATGCCGGTTCAAGTCCTGCCCGAGTCGAAATTTTTTTTTTTAATTTATTTTCAATTTTTAAATTGTATAGTGCCTTCATTTGCAATAACATGTCTACAATAGTAAAGTTTTTAATTGTATGTTAATGTTTTCAAACAAACTTTACTTTTTAGAACTCGCCTTTATATATTGGTGGAATTGGTACTGACTCGAGCACTGATAATGAATTATCTAGACAATGGCTTGTTCATACTGCTCTTGATGCCTTAGAGGAGAGGCTTGTGTCTAGCAATACAAATGCAGGAAATGCTCCGGCGAATGCAGCTCGCACGGACTTACGAGATTTGTATTTGGGTTTGCTATATTCTACAGATACACATAAAATGTATATTATAAGACCTTTATCATTGGTAGAATTAGTTTAAGTTCTACTTATAAAGGGTTACAATGTTTTTATTTCAGCTACGGATATGTGACAAATACTCGTATTAAATTAGTATTGGTAACAAGTTCTACATCACCCAGCGGAAGTAATATAAGAGACGCAGAAGTTAGAACAGCCTTGAGAAGATTACACGCTCTCTATGCTGATGCCATCTGTAACCCGTTTCACTTACCTGGTGATCAAATAACTTCATCGTGAGTGCTTAATAATATTGTCTTTAGAAATATATGTTAATCGAATTAAACCATTAAGTAAGATGATAAATTAATATTCGTCTTTCTTTCAGAAAATTCGATAAGCAAGTCAAGAACCTGATGTTAAATAATGTTTAAACTGAAGTTAAAGAAGTTCCATAACATATGTATATATTAAAATACGTTATATTCCCATAGTATACTTTAGTTTATTGTTAGATATAAACAGGAGACATAACCTAGGTAGTTATCAAAAAACACTTTTAATAAGCTAAATACCATAGACAATACGTAGGCTAAAATATTAAACCCAATATATTGCAAAAGCTGTCAACAAAACCGGCAACACTTCTCTTTCTAACGTGACGTTTGAGTGAAGCTGTGCTCCGGTTCAGCGCTGAGCAATTTTTTGAAGAAAGTTGTTTAACTCGACCGGATTATCGCAACAATATGGTAAGTAACGACTAGGAATAAAGAAAGTTCTAAAATAAATATATATTTTTATATAAATCGCTGTTTCTTTTACAACTTTAAGGTTATGTTTACACGTGCTTTAAAAAGTTCAATATATTTCATTATTTAATGTATTTCTCGTATCTTTTTAAAGCATGTATTAATTGTATGGTATAATTTATTGTAATTATATAAAATTTTACTTATTTTTTAAGTTGATCTAGATGACTAACTACTGTGGCTTTGTACAAATAAAAATGTCATCTTTTTCTATTATTGGTTATTTAAAATACATATGCAGTCACATTTATATGTCGCTTATAGGCAGCCGCTGTCGTGTCAGGCAAAGATATTGAGAAGCCCCAGGCGGAGATCTCTCCTGTCCATCGCATCAGGATCACTTTGACATCTCGTAATGTCCGCTCCTTAGAGAAGGTCTGTTCAGACCTCATCAATGGAGCCAAGAAACAGAAGTTGCGTGTTAAGGTAATATAATCTTTATGCTTGGAACTATATGTAGATGATAGAAATGTATTTGTGTAATGTAATTATGTTTCCCCATATATGTATAAATGAAATTTTCATTTATACTTGCTAAACCTAGTTTGGTTTGAAACTTACCATATGAAACTTCCAACGGTTATTGTTATTTAAAATTTAGTGTTCTTTAATGACCAGTTTTTATACACTTTGATATTTTTCAATGGCAATCAGCACCTGGATGAAAACATTGCATGTCATTTGTGCAGTGTTCACCAAATTGGTGCAAAATAAGTGCATTCCAAAGTGCAGAATATATGATAATTATACTATCTTCTGCTCATAGGTTTGCAACATATTTTCACTTCTTAAATTGCAATTTATATGTTTTGTTTATTATCCTCGCTATTAGTTTAAAAATCTAAAACTTAATATCAGTTACAAAACAGTAAGTTATGATTACAACCTTCTAACTTTGCCACTGATACAAACAAACAAATTATCTACATAGTATGTATAAATCATTCATTGACTGCAAAAAAAACTCTTGCAATGATGGCTGTGACTTTACTCATTAAGTTGGTGGTGACTACAATCAGATGATTAAATTTATTTTTAGGGCCCAGTCCGCATGCCAACCAAAGTTCTCCGTATCACCACCCGTAAGACACCTTGTGGTGAGGGTTCCAAGACCTGGGACAGATTCCAGATGAGAATTCACAAGAGAGTGATCGACCTGCACTCACCTTCGGAGATTGTCAAGCAAATCACATCAATCAACATCGAGCCAGGTGTAGAAGTTGAAGTTACCATTGCTGACGCGTAGGCACAGCTGCCAATAAATATTTACAACTACCTTTTGTTTTATTTCAATATTCAATTCAATCCACAACGCACTGGTTAAACAACGATTATATCTTGGCCAGATAAAATGTACTACAACAGTTACAGTAGAGTAGTTAAAACTAGGTCTATGTTGTAATATAAAATTAGTTAATAATATGGAAGTAAATGTTAACACAAATTAATAAAATAACCAATTGATTGGTTAGAACTTCAGCAAGGAACTCTGTCGGTTCATGTTTACTTCTAATTCTATTTCATGAAGTGAAAAATATAAAAGTTTTCAAATAAAGCACCTAGTTATATCATTGTGCAAATTTTATTTTAAGTAATTACAGCACCACCTAGCACTCTATAAGTTATTGCAAGATTGTGTTGATATTAAGTGACTTTCCTTTAAATAGATAGCGGTTTGAGTATTGAACTCATCTAGTTATGTAATTATAACATTTTTGTGCAAATTCAGTTTTAAATGTACAGCGCCATCTAGTCGTATTCGCCATAAACTACTGTAGGATCGTATAAATACTAAGTGATTTTCCCTTAAATAGATGGCGCTCTACGTATTCAACTCATCTAGTTATATTATTGAGCAAATTTTATTTTAAGTAAATACAGCACCACCTAGTCGTATTCTCTATAAGTTATTGCAAGATTGTGTAGATACTAAGTGACTTTCCTTTAAATAGATGGCGCTCTAAGTATTCAACTCATCTAGTTATATTATTGAGCAAATTTAATTTTAAATGTGTACAGCGCCATGTAGTCATAGTCTCAATAAGTTATTGTAGGATCATGTAAATACTATGTGACTTTTCTTGAAATAGATGGCGCTCGAAGAATCCAACGTATTCGGCTGATACAAGTAATAATAGTTATAGTGCCTATATACTATTTGATACAAATTAACATTCAATTATATCGTTCCCTATTACTTATTACTTGTAACAAAACTCCATACCGACAATGCTTTAGTTATAACATTATATTATTATAGCGTCATTAGGTTTTTTTAACCTCTTTGCGATATTAAAATGTAGGTAACTATACCTCATTTAAAAACGACATGGTTATGTTGAAATTCTAAGTCAAAATACAGAAACGCGAATGTCTTAAATTACCCCCGAATTTTATCATTCGTACCACGAGCCACAAAAGTTGAACACGCAACCAGAATTATTGTAAACGACACGAAAGCCGTTTTATTTCTGTTATTAGGTTGCTGAAAGTATTTATTTTTACATAATAAAAACCTCGTAGTTTGTATAAGAGGCCATATTTTATTAAGCGTTAATATTTAGGTAGTACTTAATATATATACATATTTAGCATAACCTTTAACTTCGTAAATACATAATTTTATGTAGTTGTTCAGAATAAACGAAGTTAAACTTACCTTGTCAATACATATTTTGTATAATCTATATTAACAGCGTTCTATTTTTGCCTCACAGAGGACAATCGAGCATGGGTTTCACTCCATGAAAGGAGAAATACTCAAGCCTCATATTGTGTAAGTAAGATGCGCTGTCGGCCTATTTAGATTTCGACTTCCAGAAATGACAGAATGGATATGAGACGATTGTGAGTGACCCGAAGGGATAATTTTAATTTTACTACCGTTCCCCGATGCTACGTCAAATATATATTTTTTTAAATCGGAAGATGATCAAAGACCACGATGCACCCTGCTACTATCTGCAACCGATGGCGCATTAGTTATTAGCCATGCATAGTTATCGTCGAACCCAAAATCTTAAGAATAGTAAAAACTTCTTGTTACAGTATAGATAGGTATTATAATGAGATAGTATAGGTATGTAGACGAGTGGTACCACCGAAATCGAATTTTATTTTTATTTAATAACTTCCTCTGCGAGCTATATCAATAACGGTTTCGGATTGTCTCTGCCTAATCTAGCATATCGCCGGCGCACATTTTTCTATTAGTTCATTAATCCTTGATCTTTGGCGAATCACATTAACATTTAAACATTACTTACTGCTAATACAATAATACAGCTCCGGTAAGTACGCAGGGTTCGACTTTAGAGAGAATGCGTGATCATCATCACCCCACTCATACAACATCCATACGAGTTTAGCTGTCAATCTATTATAGCTTTGGGTATTCAGAAATCCACACAACTTTACGGCTTTTTCATCTGTGGACGTGACTCGGACGAAAATTCGATGTTCATACCACACCCGTGGTAACCAGATATCCAGAAGAACTCCAAAAAGTTTTAGAAAAAATATAAAATGATAAAAATTATGTTAGAATCGGTGGACATCGAACCCTCGACCCGTTTTATATTAGCCAAAATTACAAACAAAAATCAATGCTTTGAATCGATCATAGACAATTTAATTCACTTTTTTAGTTTAGAATAGATTATAAACCCTATTTGTAGGCCATAGAACAGTGGATCATATGAAATCGGAAATCTTTAACAATAATCGGAAACGCGGTTACAAACACACATAATACCCGGTACTGCACGCCGAGAATCGTTTAATTTTATGACGTTGGCCTAGTTATCTCAACTTCCCATGTCGAGCTTTTATTGTCGAGAACAGCTGAATTTCGTAAAAGAGTAGGTTACATTACAATTACAGACTTAATATTGAGGTTTATACATAACTTAAACAATGATACTGTACTTATTTAACTATCAAAATAATTACAATTAATAGTTGTATACTCTAAGGAAAGCTTTCTCTCTTCTATCTTCAAAAATGTTTCAAGGTGAAAAATGAATATATCTTACTAATATGGTACCAGTTTAAAATTAAATGTCTTATTTTTAAAACTTTAACTGAAATTAAAACTACAAAGTATTAAAATTGATACAACATATCATAAATAACATTTATTTCTGTGAAACAAAAATCCCAAACGTGAAAACCCTCCGCTTCACCCTAATGACGTCATTATTTATTAGGTTTGTTTGTGTTGTCCCATGAATTATATCAATAATACACACAAAAACTGTAACGAATACAGCTACCCATATCAAGTTATAATTCATATTAATATTTTATAGAAATAACACAGACATACCAAAATATCTACGCTTTGTTACATGTTTTAATAAATCAAGCAATCCAAATATTGCTCTTTAATCCTTCTATGTAGTACAAAAGGGATTTAGTGAAAAGCGCATTCAATTTGAGAAGCATTTGGCGTCCGTCTCTCGTACAAACATTTAATTTAAAAATCTCGTTTCAGACGGTACATACAATTTGAGTACGTCGTATAAAAGTTTTAATCTATGTAGTAAATAGTTGTGGGTCGATGTACCGAGGCCGGGAAGATCAATAATGCCTGCCTGGATACAGCCGAGGCCAATTCTACTCTGTATTTTAATCACGGTTTAATATTAAACGACGATACTGTATCAGGGTATTATATGCATAAGCATGTAAGTATACTCAGACGTATATATACGGAAAAGTCTTTAAAATACTGATACTATTTAAATAAAACACTTTAACGGTTTAAAACGCGTAACCTCCTTGACAGTAGTTTACGAGTGCTCAAATAAGAATATAATAAATAAATAACAACTCAAAGTCAAATATGACGTGAATTAACTTCTTACCTTCATAATAAAATAGGTAACTTCGTAATTACGACCATCGAAAAATAAAAATAGTAACCAATGTCTATTTACCCAGTAATTTAATTCCTCTGCAAGTGAAACCGGCCTTAATGATAACGGGCTTGCGCAATACCTAGGTACCCCAGACTTCTATCGTTTCTGGATTCTTCACGAAGGAAAGAGAAAACGCATGGTTACCGCATAGCGTCGTCTCGCTCAGCAGGATTAAGTCTGGAAAACGTTGCCATAGTTACGGGTGTTCTAGATCCCTGGAATCGAGCTGAATATCAGTCGATAGAACATTTAGGATGAAATGGTTCGTCAAAGTTTCGAAGTAATCGAGTAAAAGTAATATTTGCTAGTCAATTAATGGACGAACGGTTTTCCTTTTTCACGTATAGCTACTTATTTGATGTTTATTGAAATACAACAATGATGTATCACCAATAATCCCACGACCCGTTCGTGGGTTCGATTCCCACCTGGTCTAAGATGTTTCCGAGTCGAACCACCATCCACGCTTCACAGATGAAAAGCGTGCTTTGCTTTCAGTCCGTAGATTTTCTCATATTCAAAGCATCTTGTTCAGACGTTCCATCAAATGAACTCTATATCCCATGATGAAGGTCTCAAATAATCTTAAGGATTATAGAAAAGTTCAACTGTACCTACTGCAAGTCTTTATGCTGCAAGGAATGCTTTAAAAGGTGTACTTTACTTTACGGTTATCTTCAGGATCTTAAAAGATCGTAAATAGACGAAGATTAATGTTCGTGTCGTTTGACTTTAATACTAATCGGTAACTGTACACTCGTGCAAAAACACTTCAAGACAATTTCTATAGAAATAAAGCCTATTTCTTAATGCTCGATCGCAAACGTAAAATGGTCCCATATAATAAAATTCGCCTACGCATGTGCGTGTAGAATAGGCAATTATAGAGACTAAGCAATCAGGAAGTGATAAATAAATACTTTCACCCTAATATATAATATTTGTATTCTTTCTTTACCTATGTTATTTTAAATAAAAATAAATTAAATTAAATAAAATTAACTTAAATTTTCATTTAAACTTCTGGTTTAAAGGGGTACAAAATTGTCAATGGGTATATTAAAAAATGTAGTTGCAAGTAGTTGATTAATTTTCTGTGCCCTGCCTGTCCGAAGCGATTTATCGAATTCCCGGTGTTCGAACCCAGGCCTGCAGCCATGCATGGCTTGTTTAACTATTCAACAGTAGTGGCTGCCATCCATATTTTTTTAGGATTACAATTAAAATATTGTACTTTTTCTATTAATAGTTTCGTCAAAGCAATTTACTTTTCTGATTTCAATGAAATTAAAAGTTATAGCTACACGATTGCTGCGGTTTAGAT